GCGTGCGAAATTTATCAAGAGTGAGTTTCGAGGCTTGCTTCCTGGAGAATTTCCGGATGCCTCAAGCTATTCGGGTCTCATTCAAGGCACCTCGCAAATCCCTGTCGGCATGAACGATCGGAACGAGGAAGACCTTGGTAAATACGTGAGTAATCTTGGTCACATATTAATTCTTCTTTCCAAGCTGACGTGAGCCAGGTCGATATCTCTCAATGCTCATATCTAGTGGACTCATCCTTCCCAGGACGAGCTGCCACGGAACTTGAGCCTGACTATGTGCACGATGAATCAGAATGGGAGACAATAACTTGCAAGGACTTCCTCGACACGTCCCAGACAAGCGCCCTAGGTCGATTGATTTGGGTTCCAGATTTCCCTATGTTGCCGGCTCGTTTCCGCAGAAGCTGGGGGCAATACTGTCTTCTCAAGCGGCGTGGCGCTAAATCAGAGTCAAAGTAGACGGCGTGATATCAACGCTATCTCTTCTAGTGTACATAATTCTCGAGTCGTTACCCTAGTTCGTACACCATTTGCGATCTCGCAGGCGAGACACCGTGTGGTCAAAAGAACTACAGGCGGCACTATGACCTTACCTGATTTGGATAAGAAATCCCTTGCGTGACGCCAACCCTGAAGGCAAATAGTGATAAGATATCTCTCCGCACGGATGACGCCCACGCAAACTTTCAGTTTACGGACAAGCCCTGTGTTTGGCCAGTTGATGGTCGCATCGGATTAACGCAAATGGAAATCATCCTTGTACTGTCAAGCGAGTCGCCTTTGTTGAGCTGGACAATGTGCATGTCAATATGGAGTGGCGGGGTGGACTCTTATCTGTTCAACAGTTGTCTCGTCTTCATATAATAGCAATTATCTCTTGAGGTACACGGTCATAAGAAGAATTCAGGTTACAACTCCTCTGGATTTTTAGACGAGAAATGAAACCATGCTTCCTGAACTTGTGCAACTCGGTCAGCTTCACATCAAACACGCAGCATCTCTGTGTTTGGTAGCAACCTTGATCTGGCTTGCTACTTCTGTGCTTCGCTTCTCGAAGAAAGGAAGCAACAGAAGATCAGCTCAAGATCTCGAGGAGGAATCATCCTCGACATCACAGATTCAAAAGCCAACTAGAAAACCCGGAGGTAAGACACGCCTTCAGACATTCGAAGCTCTCTTCTCAGCTCTCTGTAGAATGGATACCCTCAGACTTCAAGAGGCCGGCCGCCTCTCCATATCCAGACTGGGATGTCCATGCGACCAGGCCGATACCATATCGACCATTCAGATATGGCCCGTGAGTCGCCTCGGATGTGGTTTTGGATTCCCATGACTAATGGACACAGGAAGTATTTCATCACAATGGGGTTGAGAAGCATGAAGTGGGATGAATGGATCGGTAAGGCATCTTCACACACCACATCCATGGCTTCAGACTCGCTGACAGAGCTCTAGAGCTGGACAATCACTACCTAAGGTATCACGCCGACAAAGCACGTCGGATCAAGGAGAGGGGAGCGAAATGCTGCAGAACCGCACCTGAGGCGATGGACGGTGCGATTGAGCTGCTGGAAGAGCTGTACGTGCCAACGCCCTTTACCCAGCCAGCACCAGAAAATCTTACAATTTAACACAATATAGCACTTCCTACCTCCCCGAAAGATACCCCTCCATGTTCCGCAAAACCGCAACAGGCATCGCCAACACCATCACCGGCGAATCATTCAACATCACCCAACGACCACTCCCCGAAGACCCCATGACGACCTGCGCGCGGCTCATCCAAGACGACCTGGCGCTCATGTTCGAGAAACCAGACGGGGAATACTACCTCCTCGCAGGCGCGATCCTGCTCGCCGGCTTCTGGCGCCTCGAAGACAAATTCGGGATGCGCCTCTCAGAAATTCACACCTCCGGCGACGTCCCGGGCTTCCGAACGAAACTCGAAAAGGGCATGATGAACTTCTTCCGCCGGATTCGGCCCGAGGACCCCGTCCTCCGCAACAACTACTTCATCCAGGTCGATGACGAGCTCGCCTGGTCGCATAGTATCGGGTCCGAGGACGCGGCCGTCGTCTCGTGGAACACCGCGCAGAAGAACAAGGCCATCGAGCACCATTACTTCCGGTCGGAGAGGCAGAGTCTGCGCCGGCTGCCGCGGTCCGGGGCGGTGGTGTTTACGATCAGGACGTACTTTGAGCCGATCACGGAGATTGCCAAGGAGCCGTATGTGCCTGGTCGGCTTGCCTCTGCGATTCGAAGCTGGGATGCGGATGTGTCGCGGTACAAGGGGCGGGAAAAGTACGAGGAGGTGCTGCTTGAGTATCTGGATAAGAAACATGCGGAGCAGGTTGCTGCGGGCCTGAATTTAAACAAGGAGGATGAGGTTCGAAGTTATCCATTTTGATCCTTGACCACTTTGGCACTTCCTTTTAATCAATACCTTTCAATCAATGTTACGGCCCATCTGCATTTTTCTTTTATAATACCGTATTTGATACGCTTTATGAGACAGTCTTATCAGTGATGCTATATACACACATAGTCTAGTAATCTATCGCTAAACAGGCTCAGCAAAAAGCGCAGTCCAATGCAAGTTTATGTCTGATGTCACCAAAATCCAAGTAGAACTGCACACTGCATGATTCACACAGCAGCATCAAGACCCTTCGGGCCCGTTTTCCGTCTCGCCATGCTCCATTCTCTCTCCTGCCGCCAGGAGCATTCCTCGCGGAACTCGCATATGCGGCACTTCCATGCTTCCATGATCTCGACGCCGCGCGGGTCACGATTACCGCGCCACCAGTCCATCTGATCGGAGAGATAGGATGACATGGTGGTTGGATCGAAAAGAAAGCTACGGCTGCCCAGGACACGGGTGTGTAGGTCTGCCGTGGGTGCGGAGGAGAGATAGCGAGCCGTTAGGAGAGGGGATATGATCGTCGGGTATGGTTCCAGCATGCTAGGCTGGAATTCCGAGGGGATAGAGGGCGCAACGGAGACGGATGGTTGCAGCGAGGGAAGGAAAGTAAGGCGAAGTTGGTCTTTCATAAATTTCCAGAGACTGGACAGGTTATTGTGTTCAAGGAGGATACTGGTTGAGTCCTGGCTTGCGGAGGGGAGGGATCCCGATGACCGGATGGACGGTCTGCGTGCCGCATCTTCCGGAGAGGGGATGAAGTCTGGATCGAATTCGGAGGCTGAAAGAGCGTCGAAGAATTGATCATTCAGGCCGCCAACTTCGGCGATAAAAGCGTCGGTGAAAGTACGATTAGAATCTAAGTCGTAGCGGGAGGCGAGCGTCTCGATAGACACCTCATCGGTGGTGATGAGACGGTTCAGCATGTGGTAGTAAATTTGGAGCTGGAGCAGCGTGGGCCGAAACGACGTGCTCTTGATGGTGGGTATGGAACCGCTGGCTCGCGTTTTGATGTCTGTGAGATAAACTCGAGGGATGTTGAAGGCCTCGGACGATTGGGTGCTGGGAGCATCCTCGACAAGCTCATCAGGCTCATCCTTCCAAATCATCTCTGACAACCTCTTCCCGCCCTGAGCGGGAGCTAGCAGGTAATCGGTCAGAGACATCTGATACTCGGGCATTACCGCCCTCGAGGCCTCCACATCGGCATAGTATTTAGCGGCTGTCGCCTCAAGCTCGGGGTCCGGGCACTCATACGAAAGCTGGTCAATGACTCCATTGACCAGCTCACCATCCACAAGACCCCAGACCTCTAGCTCCCGAGTGAGACCATATTCTCGCAGTGTCCGTAAGCCTTGTATGACATTCCACAGCCTCAAGGCCAACGCATCTTCCTTGGTTGTGATTTCCACGGGAATAGTCGTGTGTACCTCATCTTCAAGCGTTTTGTGGATAGTACTCCCCTGCTTCATAGCAGGCGTTCTCCTCTTCCTCCCATGCTTGGTCAAGGTATACCAGTACTGTAGCTCGCACCATGCAGGAGAGATCAGATCCGTAACGGAAAAGGCCTTGTTGGGTGGCTTTCTGAATCGCTCAATAGGTGATCGAAGGTCAGGCGCTGGACTCGTTCTCGAGTCACCGATCAATTCCCGTTCACGGGCTACGTCTCTCTCACGTTGCCTTTCGCGGCCTTCGATGGAATCCGGATGCTCCACTAAACGCTTGAAATCAACCATCAGCCGCCTACTCAACCTCTTACACAAAAGAACAAAGAACAAAGAATCAAAGAATAATCCTCACCAGACGCGGCGCAAACGTTGCCCGAGATCTGATCTGCCCTTGCCCCAGCAGATGTCGAGACCTGCCAGGTGTTGCGCTTCTGCCATAGAAAACCGGGCTTTTCACGGCCCAGTACCTTAGACACTCTTTGACTTGCTGGACTTTCAGCATAATCTTCAATATCAGCGACAGCAGTGGCGGTCGCCTGTACGGTTTTCGAGGCTGTCGTTGCCGTCGCTGTCGCTGTCGCCGTCGCGGTAGCAGAAGCCTGGGCGGTCGCGTGTTCTGTGGCGACTTTGGCGAGCAGATCGTTCAGCAGCTCTTCTTCATCCGGAGTAAAGTCGGATCCGTAGTCGCTACTATCGTCGAAATCGTCTGGCATTACAATGTAGGATGTCGGAGGGCAGGACATGCCCGTGATGATGGTAATTAATTCATGTCATGTGTGGTGAGAAGAAGAGGATCTGACCTCTCATCGAGTTCTTATCGTGAAGTCACTCCGCCAACGTCATTTACCGTATCCAAAACTGCTTGCAGTTCTTGGCGCAATTCTGATATCGAAACAGCAAAGTCTGTTCTTCACGTTCTTATGCCCGCTTAAGTGAATCTTTGTAATGATCACTGAGAAGTTTGTTCTTGTATTGGGGTATAATGTATGAGAATATTTCTAGTCTATGTACTCGTTGAAAATGCAACGCTCAAGAAGACAGGAGAAATCTACCGTCTATTCAAATCAATCGCGCCTGCAAGTCTGGAATTTGCAAAGAAAAGGGTATGGAAGACGCAGTCATGGAAAGGTACCTCATGCTTTTATCGTTGTCGAAGGGCTGATACTGCCCGAAACCAGCACATGAGACGAATGGTCCGACTCGGCCATTTCCGCCTCGACCTCTCTGGCAGCCTTCTGATTTAACCAACTGAGATAGGTCTGCCAACCGACGGCGATGACACCAGCGAAGATGCTCCGGAAAGGCGGAGACACGTACATGAAGCTGAAGGCCGTGACGGCGGGCCAGAGCTTGACACTATTCGATATACTGACGGGCAGAGCTACCTTCAAGCGCTCGAATGTCTCTTCCAGGGAGGCACCAGCGAGAAGAGAATGTACACTGAAGAAGTACGTATTGAAAACGGGTGTGAAGACAGCTTGTTGTACGGAGACTTTGGTGAGGATGGAAAGGAATTTGGACTGGAAATTGAAGTTGTTGTGGAGGAACATGAACCTAGTGAAAGTGCATCGCATCAGCAAAATGAACCCAGCGCCATCGGTAGGACAATACTTACCAGTTATAGGACGGAATAGCAGACCCCACACCAACCGTCAAATGTCGCATAGTTCTCAGAGGATCGTACCCTCCACTCGATGAGGCCTTATCCTCGCCATCTCCAGCCGAGTCCGCGGACTTCTCTTCGGACGCATCCCGTGGTGTTTGCGCCGGGCTTTCGGAGGGGAACAACAACTGCGCACTCAGGTCGCCGCATAGATATACCACAATGGAGCTGACAATCTGCGTCGCATAAGGTCTCCTTTGTTGCACCCTGGCATATGATTCTGCCAATCTACCAATTGGTCCTGCCTGAATGGCCTGGAAGAACGTTCGCGAACTCGAGCGGGCGGGGGTGGAGACGGCTGAAGGTGTGCTTGCGGGACTGGTATTAGGGGAGGATGACGATGGAGCACTCGATTGCGAAGCGTTTGCTGAAGTGCTGTTCTTCTCAGGGACAGGACTAGGTGATGCCTCGGAGGAGTGGTGCCTTAGTTGTGATCGTTGTGACCGAGTTGTTCGTCTGCTCCACTGCCTCACAGTCGCCCTTCCATGATGCAAAAGATGACCCATGAGAGGCGAACGGGTAGGTAATATCACAGTCCAATCAGTATTATGTGCGACAAGTAAAAGCAATCGTAGGTCGATTCGCGGTTTTGACTCGACAGGGCGATAAGAAAAGTTGCGCAAAAGACCGACGATAAGACGCAACTCGATGTTGTTTCGGGTCAGCAATAGAGGTCACCAGGTATCAAATTAATGGCAGGAAAACTCTATGAGATTCTAAAGAATGATATGAAATAAACGAAGGAAAAGAATTGCATGCTATATGTGAGAAAGGAATAAGATTTATTTGTCATGCATAGAATTCGAGTCAGAAATAATCGGCACCTCAGGCTAACTGCTGCCGAAAGACCGCAACTTTCCGACTCGGAGTTGTTTATCCATCTTATCGCCGAGGGTCTAACCATCCAATCAACTTCACCAAAGTATTTAATCTTCTGCGACACCTTGTGAGAAGGAGTCTATTGTGTGAGAATGAATCCAAGCAATTCAGTATGACAGACCTATCTGTCTCCCGCGTGCAATGACTTGAGCCTGCGCTGCCCGATCGCCTAACTGAACCACTTTCTTGCCATGCTTGCAAACCGCATATCTTCCACCTCAATCTCCTGATGACCGGCGTGCTTTCTGGCAGATTCGGCCACTATCATCATCAGATCAGATTATGACAATGATTACTGCATATCAGGTTGAGACCATCTCACACTTGAACTCTCTGACGAGAAAAACCTCCGCAGCCTCCTGCAGCGCTTATTGATCCTCGGATGAGGACAGCCAAGATCATAGCACACCTGTCTCACTACTCGCCGGAACAGATGCTCGCTGGTTAGAAGACTCGAGCCGAACGGGTTCCTCTCAACACCACCAATTATTCGGACTGCTATCAATCAGCTCATGTTGTGCGAATCAGTGAATCCATGGGTACTTACAGCCCTGTGGCGTCGGCAGGAGAACGTGGCGACAACGCTGACGGATCGCCAATCCGCGCCTGCCCTTGAGGCGCCGCATCCTGCGCCTATGCCAGCTTGGTGCGCTCTTCATAAGCCGTCCTGGTCTGACGCGGATTCTGGCCATGGTCGACGAGATCGGGGGTTTAGTCAAGGGTGTATGTGAAATGGCTAATATGCACAGGTGGGAATACTAGAGGGGTGAGGATGACTTAGGATGACTTAGTGAGGGCGGGTGACGAGGTATGGAGTTGTCAAGAGACAAGACAGAGGCAAAGATATTACGGAATGGTAAAATGCAAGCTTCGAGTGGAGAGCAAGTTCTGAGAGGTGGTTTACTCTAAAGCTGGAGGCAGAGAACAATGAGGTGAGTTTGATATCGATATGAGACTAAGCAAAGCAGAGGTGAGGTGAGTTCACACTACTCAGGGGTGCAGAGACGAGTCGAATTGCTATAGACTCATGAGGCCCCAATGGATAAGTGCTTAGATTCTGAAGGGCATTGTAATCTCATAGTACAAGAGCGAGGCTGAATGAAGCGTTTGGGATAGCTGACAGTCAAAGTCACACGTGGTGGGCACCTTATATCTCTACGGCCCCAATAAAACTGCAACATCCCTTTCGATACAATGTTGAATGATGGCTGGATATCGCCTACTATTATATGGTCCTTGTGGAGCCCTGTCCATAATCTTTCAAAATGTACACATCTTGGGTCATACCACTGGCTTCCTAGCAGTTGACGACAAAAACATATTAGTCGTTCCATCATTCCGCAGTTGCCAAATTCGAGGCGATATGACTTGGTGCTTTGCGTGTTATAGATAATTGTTTATGGGAGACATTGTCATAGGTCCCCAATATGTCCAATATGAGCAGAGAAACCACCGGAATCCCCTTGCCCTAGGAAGTTCTAATACGGCCAATCATCAACTAGAATGGCATGATTGAAGGAGATGCTCTTCCGGCTATCAAAATAGGTATCCACCCTTGGTTATTAAAGACGAAGGAACCAGTACTACGGGAGAAGAGTCTGTATGCAACTGGAAGGCTAGGATGTATCTTAATTTTAATCAGAGCAATCGGTTCCTAGGATCTCTATACACCTGCATCAACAGAAATATATGATTGACAATTTGGCGAGTTGACATAACTTAATATTTGCCTATAATATATTCATGGCCCGGATGGTCTAGTGGTATGATTCTCGCTTTGGGTGCGAGAGGTCGCGCGTTCGACTCGCGCTTCGGGCCTTTATTTTATCTTTTTTTTTTCCCTCCTTTTTTGCTTCCTTCCCCGTTCCTTCTTAGTTTCATCAAGTAAGTATTTATGTTTTTAATATTAATTCGGGACTACCAAAGGTAGAAGGTTAAAAAAACATACGATAATAGCTGTCAAGGCCTTATTATGAGGTCTGAGAGGACTTGAATGAAGTGGAAGTACTTTTATATATTAAGGTGTAGTTGTCTGGTGCAGTAAGGGATGAGAGCAAGGACAAACGATTATCCTATAGGAAAATATACACTATTCAGTTAGTCCTTCTTTAGAGACCTTTCTTGCATCTGACATCTAATTCTATCGAGGACGAATGGAAACAGCATAGTAATATAATAGATGCTGTTATGTAGTACTTGAGATCGAAGGGCTCATCCTCTCTTCTAGTAACAACATTGTATAGCCCTCTCACTTACTTGCGTGTCACGCTTTCCCATTATGAAAAACAAGCCAAGTCAAAAGGGATGATCGTGGATTAAAAAAGTACGTAGTTGAAGGTTTGTAGTTGACTGTCATTTGCAGGTGGTGGATGGCGGATGAGACATGGGAGAAGGATATCTGAAAAGTTAAACCCTCAAGACAAGGGTTCATATGCTGAGGTAATAAAACATCTCACTCCGGATGACACCTTCAAAGACCCAAAGCAACAAATATCTTTTATCTTTTACACGGACTTTGCATGACTGAGATATCCGGCTATTTTGTGCTCTGATCTCATGACATGACCTCTACTACCGTCAACCGCCTTGGATCCATGGCTTACATTTAATTATCGTATCTGCAAAAGGGGGAGATCTCCTTCCGGCCCTCCTTGTCTGAATCATTCAATGACCTGTTTCACCATAAATTATAGCTAGAACCATGGACCCCTCTGGACTTTCCTACTAATAAGCCCTAGCAAGAGTAAGACCACTGCATTCAGAGCTATCTATAGTAGAATGCTAATATAATAGTAAGGCTCTTTGCAGAGTACTATAAGTATATATAGCTATAGGGCTATTTTATACACCAGACTTGCTAAGAATGTTTCTAAAACTGATTAGAAGGAGGTGATGTAAAAGCATAATGCCTGTCTTTATTACCTCTACTAGTCCTGCTGAACATTCAGCTACCTAGAACCTATCTACCTTATTTATAAGGGTTATAAAATGTAGGCATTAAGGATTACAAGCTTCTTAAGGGTGCTTCTGCCCACTAGGTCCAGCACTTATTTAATAACTAGATGACTTGCTATAACCAGAGTGGCTCTCCATAGTCAGAGTTTTATCTGATGGTTGATGATAAGGCCCTCTAGTCCATCCTCTAGACACCGGGGCCCTCTGGGGGTAGTAGCTTCTTGTTTGGATTAGATGCTGGCTATATGAATCTTGTTGATCAGAGGTTTCAGGAAGTCAGAATAAGTGGCCATGAGAATTATTAAGGATTTTTGCGTCTGGACATCATCAGGCTGTGGACTTTCATAAGTACCTATTAGAATAATATCTATTAGAGAGCACTGCCCAATATACTGCGTCCTGGCCTGATTCCATGGACTGATAGGGCCCAAACGCATGTAGAGGATGAGGATGGGACGGTGGTGGCGGCGAGTGCGTTTTTGAGAAGGTCCAAAGTAATCAGGAAGAAGCCTTGTGCGACATTGTAAGGGCATTGTCTAGATCCATTGTGTCTATAATTCTCGTGTCTGTGCTTGGTCCATTTCAACTGGGATTTTGTTGAATCTGTTGCGGAGCTCTCTAGGATCCGAACCCAGTCAACCAGCCAGACCTCAATATACAAGTTCCGAACCAGATCACTATTTATCTATGTCAGGGGCCAGTAAACAGTCACTGGATTCCTGGTCAAGAATGTCAGGTGAACAAATACAATTCTAGAGTATCATGCTACTGGTCATGAGTCTCTTGGTTTCGGTGTTTTTTGAACTTTCGAGTTCCGCGGGCCACTCACAAGCGGGTTCCTTTCATTCGAAGTATACCTAGCCGACCTAGATAACAAAGTTGGAGAGTGAATGCCATAGAAGTACTACTGCGTATTCACCTACAAAATAGAGACTAACATAAAATGCATCTCCTTGGAGTGGGAGATGGGGCGCGGAGGCCGGTTCTTGAGATGTTGAGACCCCCTCCTCTCTTGTTCTTTACATCTCTTCCTAGCAGCCATCATCGCATCCCACATCCCATCTTGACCATCGAGATACATTCTACTGACTATACCAGCTCACTCTATCAAAATGGCTGATGGTATCTTGCCCGAGACTGAAGGAGAGTGGAAACGGTTCGCTAGAAAATATAAGGTGGAGAACCAATCCCTGTGGATGAATCCGACATTATATTCTGCATTTCAGGTTACCTACAAGCAGTATCTCCTCTTCAGGACCGTCCTCCCCCGCCCCCCCCTCTTTGTTCACCCACGGCGGCTCAATACCCAGGCCCTTGGCATAGCACCTCTGATAGCGCAAGCTGATCTGCTCCTGAGTGATGTGGCATTCCGCGATTATATCTTAGACGTTACCACCAGGCTGATGCAGCCAATTTGAAATCCACCTTGAGGAGGCAATGGCCAACTGTTCAGGGTTCCAGCTATTCAGAAACAGCAAGTGATTCATGACGAGGCTCATCCTGTTCGGTGTCCTGCTGAATCAAGCGTCAACACTTCCGTCGTTTCACATGCCATTGCAGATCTGGTTTCTCTTTCTAGGCGCTAATGAATGACTGATAGAATCAAGCTGACGGCGGGCTTTAGCACACGACCACGCAAAGGCAATTCGTTGCATATACCGATGGCCAGCTGGAGGATACCTTTTAGTCGCCGGATTTTGGCACTACTAGGGTGTAAACGATCGCGGCGGGAGAGACATTCCCTAGCAGTGGATATGCAGGAGGTGGCAGAGATTCTGGCATGGGTGAAGCAGCAGCCCGGTGGACCAGGAAACGATGGACCAGGAAACGATACGCGAGTTCTTGTGTCGCAGGATGGGACTGATGTTTATGTCTCGGTCTTTCAGTACGACCAGAGATGGTTAAGCTACCTCGATGGAGATGCCGAGAGCATCGCGAATGCTGGCTTTGCCTACACGCACAGATACGGCCCCTGTAACATCCAGGGGAAATAGCCATGGAGCATTTCACCCGAATCATCGTGGCTTTGCTACTTCTGTAGCCCCGTTGAGACCAATGGGGACGCCGAAAGTAAGCACCTTTCCATCCACCTCTCCGTAACCCGAACTAATCCACATCTGCGTCACAGAATGATCCTCACCTGCCTAGGTGGTATTATTCTCATCAGAATCTACGCCGCAATCATGCAGCGCGAGTTCCAAAACACAAATACCCGCGTCTACTATTTGACGAGTCAGTGTGTAATATACATCCCAGCGCATATGTTCAGACTTGCAAGAGAGAGAAGGGCTACCCAGGCGCGGAGGAGTTAGCTAGCAGTAGAGATGGAAGGGCGCGTGGTGGAAGATCAATAGCAAGAACAGACCTACAATAGGATGTATATCATGTGACAGACTGTGACCTAACATGAGCTAGCACATAGGAATCAGGTCCTTCTCAGGGTTGTCAGATCAGATCAGTCTAATAAACATATTACGCCATCTTAATTTCACTAACCACTTAACCAGGTATGATTCTCGCTTTGGGTGCGAGAGGTCGCGATTTTGACTCACGCTTTGGGTCTTGCCTTTTTAGACCCTTTTTACTTCCTTCCCAAATCATGCTTAGTTTCAGCAGGTAGCGGTTTAAGTTTTTAATATGCTGGTTAGTAAATCTGTCTCACGGCTCTAAGAGACGCCCCCCAGGTAGATCCTAATAGACTGCGTAGCGCTTGTAGGCTAATGCCTGCTTCGGCAATCATCTTCTGAGGCCCTGAGGGTGACTCATGAAGGTGAGGCCTGGGTCAAGCTAGAGAAGAGATTTTAGTTTCTGGGGGCGATCCGTAACCTGGTGAATAAGCTGATGAAGTGAATGTGTTAAGAGGGAGGGTTGCTATATTTTGTATTCCATTTCTCTTTTCCCATCCATCTCTCCTTCTGTCAACCTGCTACAAAGCGCTTCACTTGCTTCGTACGCTTTTTCAGTATTTGAGTTGCTCCGGAATGATTTGCCTTGTCTCATAATGCAGAGCCAAAAGAAAGTTCGCCTCTTCCGGAATCTCTGGCTGCCGGATCCTGAGCAAGTTTTGTCCAGCCAGGAGCTGATCTATGTCCAGAAGCTCATTCCTCTTATCCAATGTCTCGAGATGCAATGGGACAAAGAGCTGAAAGAAGCGGATGGTAAGTGCCGTGGCCGTCTGAATAGGATCTCTCAAGGCTAACCCAAAAGCACGTCAAATCTGCTCACTAGGGTGGAATGTAGATGAAGCTTATGAGAGTCTTCAAGTGAATGAAGCTGCCTGGTGGAAGGCACGAGGCGTCACTAGACCTAGAGAATTCTTGGTTCGTCCGAGTGGCAAGCTGAACGCTCCAGTTGCTTGTCACTTATACAATCCCACATTCTCTGTTGACGACCCCCGTTGCCAAAAAACCGAAGACCTTTCAAATCCCTCAATCGCCCAGCTCCATGAGGCTGGATTTTCAACAAAAAACAACTGTTGGCTTTTTGATCATCTGGCTCGCAGAGATATCAGCAGACACTGCAAAGATAACTATCCCGAAGACCTTTTCGACATTCATGAACAGTTTGTCTTTGCGCTCCGAGTCGCGATGAAGGCAAAGGTCGAGATCTGCTGGGGTGCCAATGTTCGCGAACGAATGCTCAAGAAGCTTGACCTACAGTCTTTGCGTCTTTGGGGTGATTTTGCAGGCTTGGTTTTGCATCTGGAGCTGACGCCTGACAAAGCATCTTTAAGACGTTTTATCATTTTTGTCGCGCACCCCCAGCGCTTTATGTACGTAAAGAGTGATGGTGAGAAGACTCAACGTTGGCGTCGCCGATTTGGCTCACCACAAGATCAAGCATTGGCTCTCGCTGCTAGCTTGGGGGGCATCCAAATTCCCGCAAACTTCTACGAGCTAGATTCTCGATTACCTCGGAATCTATGTGTCCCACGCACAATAAGCGCTAAAAGAGATGAGTGGAAAGGCCAAGCAGTGGCCCAGTTAAAGAAAGCTTTCCCTGGAGCTATTCTTTTTGAGGAAACATCACATCGCATCCGTGCTACAAAGGAAGAGAAATTGTCGGTTCAAAATGTGTTCGGGCTTCTGGCTCAACTCAAACCTGGTCAGGTTAATGAAACTGCCAATCTGCCAAGCGCTACAGACGATACGATCCTGGTATGAACAACCTTAAGAATGTTAGCTATATGCCCCTTTAACTCCTAACTTTGAATAGCGGAATGACCGCCTTCGCAAGATAGCGAACTATTGGTATGATCTAGGGGAGCTACTATCTGCGTTCATTCCCCATATCACTACCACCGCTCATCACACAAAACTCATCGGTGCACAAAGTATCGGCTATTTTTCAAGCGAATTTTCTACAGAGTTTCAACTGTCAGATTGCTGGGATTGGGAGGATCTCCCTGATCCTCTGGTTGAGTTTATACAGCACAAGATGGTCTAAAATTCAAGAGGCGCAAGATATCGAGTCGAACTGATCTTGAGGTTGCCTTCTACCTCCTCCAGAAATGCAAAGGTAGCCCTGAGGCTTTAGACATTCTCACACTCGCAATTTCAGTGTTGGCTGCCTACGGCTGGATGATTGCTCGCCCAAAAAAGCCCTGTGTCGATGATATGCTCATTCTTCGCAAATCTCCGAATGATATTGTCCCACGAAAATGTTCTGAATGCGGTAAGGAGCAACTGGACGACCCCTTTGCCTACTGGTCAAAGTTTAACCCGAGTCATTATGTACTTTGGTATCATTTTCGGTCCGGCTGCGGCAGGCCAGATTGCAAGACGCAAAACGCCAGCCTCCTACCTCTCAATCCGCTGACAAGGTACTCGCGTTGTAGCCAGAAGGATTTAAAAGAGAAGCCTCTCGACCAGTTTGACAGATGGCTGCTACTCCGTGCAGAAGAATTTGGGACACTCCCAGTCGAGCTCGAAGTGAATTGCCAAGGCGAAAACTGCCAGGAAACAAAGACAGTTAGAGCACGGTGGACCGGCCACGCGACGCCGAAATTTGTGGTAGCTGTACACCCCTGCGTTAAATCTGGCCTAAGAAGAAATTGGGTACCTACCGGCTACCCGACCATCCACTCTGCGAAGCTCAGCACACTGTGGAAGAGGTTCCGTGAAGCCCCGGGTTTTGATGTTACTCGTTACCCCCGCAGACCCGATATTTACTTCAACACAGGTCTCGCTTTTTCTGGTCGGATCGCCGCTTTGATTGAGGCCCAACGGTTGATTGAGGCCGATGGATCAATTGAACGGAAGAGAAAGGCCGACGAGATGGACGAGGCTTAGGTCTGGTCAACTGTCAATTTTATGTATGGATAGCAATCGTGTGGAATTCTCTCCACTTATGAATTTATCGCATCCTATTCAGGTGTTGTCATTTGGGAAGTTCTTTTTCCTTTTGCAGTATCCTGTCTAGAAAAGATGGCACCCATTCCCTTTTTCTGATTGAAACCCAGTTCAGGTTAACTAAGGCAACGGGCGTTTGACTACTGTTAGTATTAGGCCATTTTCTGTGATCTTTCCTAATTTTGATTAGCTTACACAGGAAGAAGAGGAGGGGTCCAGTTATTATGATGGTTTCAGACAAGGCAGGAACATTGAATCTGTGTTTATCTTTAGGGTTCTAATATAGACACACCCCCCTACCTTTAGTGGCACACCCCTCTAGCTTATCAGCACAGCCCCCTTAACATAATCAGTTAGAATTAATGTCATGCGACTGCCACCAATCTCTGCAATCCTAACTTTCTTATTTACCATACAAGATTGAGACTTAGGAAACTGCAAAAACAAGCTTTCAAAGCTTTAGTTTTTCATTAGAATATTTATTTACTTATACAGCTAATCAGAATGCGTTCAGAATCTAATCATGCCTATCATCTCTGCTGGCATACCTTCATACACACCAACGCCATGGCTGCAGCTTAAGAGTTGCATAACCGAACCGCTAAATTGAATCCGACCCTCACCAAGCTCGCAGCGGTGACTCCTTGCTGGTCGTTGGTAAAAGCAGACTCGGCTGAAAAAGAAGAATAAATGAAAGGCTGTATGTAACGTTGCCTGCCTAGCGCGTGGCGCAGCACCACAATCAAAGCACACCATGCTGCATTTAATTGGGCCAATGGATTGTCTTGCAAGCCAGGTCAGCAAGGCGCGCGGCATTCTGAAACTTATTCCATGAGTTCTATTGGGTGGAGTCTTAATCCCCCACACATAAAAGGGAAACTCAACAAGGGCCTACCCCTTTTGACCTGCAGGCCAGAGCAATTAAAGGTACTCCTATGATTCAACCGAAAATAAGCACCGTTCCCTCAAGATTGTCTCAAGAACAGTTGACCACGTTAGTAATGTTAGAATTACCGGAGAATATTCTATTTAGAACAGGTTGCTTTCTGCGGACGATGCTTATGCAATACCCATGCTCTGCTGCTTGACAGATGTGTTTGATTGCCAGCTGCGAGCGGTGGAGATTTTGTTTGTGGGTTCGAGACGGTTAATGTTGACTTTGAAGAGGATGGGGATTGAGAGAGGGCAGGTCTATAAGACTCAGGATTAGCTGTTTAACATGGGAAGCTCTGGAGCATTTAGAAAGGTAACCCATACTATTCGGTCTTTATAAATCGCTGGATGCAACTGGCGCTAGAAATTAAATGTTGAACAGTGAGTGTTATCCATCATCTCCACTGTTCATTTATAGGCTCATAGCCAGTGAGGACTTAGTGCTTGGCACAGATCAATATGGTAAAGCCCAAAGCCCGGTGATCCTTATATTGCGGAGATATAAGCGCCTGGATTATGGGTCTCATTGCTCTGGTTGATTAATTTGTTCCTGGTCCTCCTTATATTGAGCAATTCCGTTATACATTTTGTGTTTTTACATAGAGTTCTAAGACTATTGTACTCTGCTCTAAGATGCTACTCTCCATCTTACCTGGACAGAAGGTACTACTTAGCCTCATAATTCGAACAGCGCTCCTCCCCTTCGCAATCGCCACACAATGCTACTTCACAGACGGCAGCCCGGGCTTAGCAGAGCTGCAGCCCTGCTTTCCTGACAACACCACCAGCGCTTGCTGTGCAATCAATAAAACGAACGGAGACCCCAATGATATCTGCCTGAGTAACGGGCTTTGTCTGGCCCAGGTTGCACCATATACTGGGCTCATTCTGTTAAACGGGTGTACAGATCGAAATTGGGAGAGTAATGGCTGTCCGGGAATCTGCCCTAAATGTGCGTGGTTCGATGCATGTATTTCCTGTCTGATGATGGGCTGCTAATTCTGTTTTCTACCTACAGCAATTCAAGGAAGCTACGGGATTCACGTCCTACCATGTCCTGAGATCAGCAATGACCACTGGTGTTGTAGTGCCAATGGGTCGAACTGTTGCGACAACGCCTTTAAACTGCAAATGGGCAAGCTGATGCTCTCCAATACCTCGGCTGCCCCATCTTCCACAGCTACTTCTACTGTCGCTACAGGCACAAGTGCTGCTGCCACTACCACCACCACGACTACTACCGCCAGTATAACAGAACCCACGACCTCCGAGGCTGCATCAGGTGGTTTGGAGCGCTCGGCTTCCAAATCATTGGTTGTTGGCGTTAGCACTGGTGTCGGGCTGGGTGTGTGTCTCGTAACATTAATAGGAGCCCTATGGTTGCAAAGACGAAGGTACCAGCGAAGACTAAAAGAGAATCAACACTTCGAAGTCAAGGGCATACAGAGCGGTCGAATGCGTGCTCCTCCTGCTGCCGCATCCGCGGCAGAGCTTCCCTTGAACCAAGCTCCGACAGTGTTCGAGATGGGGACGGGACGTTAACAGCAGTCAGTGTCATAATCGAAAATGTCTCCTGTTGAGGGAGTAGTGGCTATCATCCAAGTGTTTCTCCATGAATCCAGATATGTTAAGTAGTAATCAATGACTATATCACATTCAGAAATTCTGACTTGCCTAATGTTCCAATGAAATAGGACTTGTTAACATCAGCTGACATGTATGGAGCAAAAATGTACTCGGTATTACCTGCTCCGGCAGACTATCATCCTATCATCTCGGCATCATGTCGGCATCGTCGCCGCATATCCTGAGACTATTCATGGGCAGCCATGCACGTAATTGAAAAGCCAATGGGGAAAGAAAGAGACCGCGAAACATGGATTCTCAAAAGCAGAGGGCTCATGCCTATGCACGACGCTTTGCTCGCAATAACAACAGTCGCTCACTCTTCGAGGTGAGAAATCAAATATCTCTTATCGGCGTCGTTCAAGCTTCGAGTGCATTACAACTACATCCGCAGAATCGCCGCAACGAGCACCGCGAGCATCTCTCGAACAACGGAGCCGTATCGGACGTGGGACGGGCCGAGCCGAGGTTTCCAGTCCATGATAAGCCACGTGATACCGTAACAGAATTTTTTATTGGTCTTTTATGGCCCATGCATAACTGTGTCCTTTCCGTCGTCGCCCAGACTTACTATGTACACCATGTTGATGCTAGAATAGTTATCTTTAGGATACTCTAGATAGTATTGGATTAAGGCTTATATTGATAACTTGTTAGCTCCTAATAGAAGTAGTGACAAATACCTACAATCTTCTCGCCTACCATTTTCTCCTTTAATTATTCTACTCTCTCTCAGAACGAACTCCCATTCAGCTATGGCTGACCCATATCTGCAGGATGTGCGTTGGCCCATGGTCCTTGAAAACCTAAAATCCTGCTAGATGCTTAGGAAGAGACTTCTAAAAAAAAAATAGCTACAATCCATATGTTCTCTAGATAGGGAGCATGTTTTCAGTCTGCGGCAAGCACTTTGCACCTATGCTAGTCATAAGTTGAACATGATTCAGACTAAGCACATACGACCATAGGGTGTGGAAAACAGGGCTTCCCGTCCGCTCAGCCGT